CTAGTTGTCCGAGTTCGGGGCCGGCAAATGCTGCCGCCATCTTGCTCAGCTCAGCTCTGTGCTGAGCTCTGAGAGCGGGAAAGACGGACTGCCCTCCCCTGCCCTCTGCTGGCGCGTGCTGTGCATTACAACCAATGTCGTCCCTGTCAAAACTCCGTGTCAGTGTAATAGAATGAAACGGATCTGTGATTTGGCGCACAGTCTGTGACGTCACGGTATTGAAAATCATACCGATCGTATTTCCAAATACCCTGGTATACCGTAATACCGTCATACCGCCCAAGCCTAGTGTGAAGCCATAATGTGTTCAGCTAATACAGTAACCTACCATTTTTTCTTTTTCTTGCAGTTCCTGGCTTTTATCTCCATCATCTTCATCATAATTTCCACCATCTCATTGTCCCTGAACACCCTGCCGGAGCTTCAGGTGGTGGATGAATTTGGCCAGTTCAATGACAACCCAAGCCTAGCCCACGTAGAAGCTGTCTGCATTGCCTGGTTCACCATGGAGTACATGCTGCGCCTTCTCTCAGCACCTAACAAGTGGGACTTCATCAAAGCCCCACTGAACATCATTGATTTGCTGGCAATCTTGCCTTACTATGTGACCCTCTTCCTAACTGAGTCCAACAAGAATGTTATGCAGTTCCAGAATGTGCGGCGTGTGGTGCAGATCTTCCGAATCATGAGGATCCTGAGGATTCTGAAGCTGGCCAGGCACTCGACAGGACTCCAGTCTTTGGGCTTCACTTTGAGAAGGAGCTATAACGAGTTGGGTCTACTGATTCTCTTCTTAGCCATGGGCATTATGATCTTCTCTAGCTTGGTGTTCTTTGCTGAGAAGGACGAGGATGCCACCAAATTCACTAGTATTCCAGCCTCCTTCTGGTGGGCTACCATTACCATGACCACTGTTGGTTATGGAGATATTTACCCACAAACCCTACTGGGCAAGATTGTTGGAGGGCTCTGCTGCATAGCAGGTGTGTTGGTCATTGCCCTTCCCATCCCAATCATTGTCAACAACTTCTCTGAGTTTTACAGAGAACAAAAGCGACAAGAGAAGGCCGTCAAGAGAAGGGAAGCCCTTGAACGAGCAAAACGGAGTGGAAGTATTATTTCTATTAACCTCAAGGATGCTTTTGCACGCAGTATGGAACTCACAGATGTGTTGGTGGAGAAGAGGGAGGACAGTAAGAATCCGGTGGATAATCATATGTCACCCAGCCGATGGAGCTACCACAAACACTACACCAATGATGAGTCGTGTAGCCAAGGCAAGTCGCATTACCAGGAAGTGGCGCAGCAGGGCTCCCCTGAACGAGTCAAGCCTTTGCCTAACAAAATTACGCCTCAAAACCTCACTGTAAATCTGCTGGAAGAAGCTTTAAACAAGACATCAACAATTAAGGAGCAGAAGAAGAAAATGTTGGAGGAGCAGATGGAGATGAAAACGCTAACCTCCACTCAAGCCAGACAAACTTCTCCTGAAGACTGCATGAAACTCTCCTATGTTGCTGATGATTTTTCAGTAGAAAGAAGGGGGTCCAGTGCTGAAGGGGGTACAACTAGTGCTAGAAACCAGCGCATTCCCCCTCCCTTGGATCTAAGTCAGATCAGCACCATAGAAGGCAACACGGGCCCTGACAGCATTCAACCGATGGCTGTCATTAAGGAGGGTTTGTATGAGTTTGTGTCCACCCCCAGAGGAACTGAGTCCGGAGATATGGGTGTGGACAGCTTTGGGATGACCTATGATAGCATCTGCAGCGCCAATCAAAATACAATCGCCCTCAAGGTTGACTTCATTGGACCTCAAGATGATGTGCTTATGGCGGTGATGACACCTGTAGCAACCTCAGCCCCCATTGGGTCTGCCAAGCTTGCCCAGCTGCTTTCTGACGACATGGTTTCAAGGTTCTCTCCCTCCTCCAGCTCCTCAACTATGGAAGCTAAGTCTCCGTTGGTGTTCCTGCAATCTCCGTCTCTGGTCCAGCAATCTGTCAGTCCAAGCAACTCTCAAGGGGGAGGTGAGGGCTTAGTAGCCAGGAGCTTAGAAGGTGAAGGGCAGCTAACAGGCTTAAGCCACCAGGGGAGGAATCACATGGAAAGGTCTGCTGTCGGCTCAGGCTCAGGCTCAAATTCAAGCCCTCTGTCTTCCAAACTCAGCCCGCTCAACTGCACCATGGAGCAAGGGACTTTGGAAGGAAGTGAGCAAGGAAGAGGGAGAGAAGAAGCAGATCACAGCGGGGAGAAAGAGGAAAATCACATTGTTCTTGGTAGAAGTGCAACACCTCCCTGTGAAACAAGCATGTGAGCCAAAAACGAGAAAAGGTTCACAGATATAGAAGCAAAACGGGTGGGGTTGACGGGATCAATGGCAGCCACCACCCAGAATAAACCAGAACAAGTATTTCCAAGTGTGTGTTATGCACCTGTTGACAAAGACAATGTGGAACACAAACAATGTTAACAAGACTATCAAAACAGTTGTAGTTTTTCTGGATCAATGCACCTGTCATACCCCACAAGACGTTTGGACTCATCTCTTTTTCGACAAGTACTGCTGTCCAGAGAAAGACGTTTCCACAGTGTTGTCTCTTGGCTTTGAGGAAAGTCAGTAGCACATGCCCACTGTCTGGGTACTATCTGAAATACACTGTTTCATGTCAGTGTTTATGATATATTATTTGTAGACCAGACTGATATGCTGCAAAACAGTGTCATCTAAAACATCTTTTAGGGCTCAGATGTGAGCATAAACAAAGCCTTGTGTGAATGAGAAAATATAGACGTAAGAGAGTTTTTGCTTACAGCTCAAGAGCTATGATTTACGGTTCATATTTTCGGTTTATTTCTTATAAACACCAAGGAAAGACAGAAGTTGTCTTAGCAAAACGTAAAAAGACTTGTAAAAAGGACACGTCTCTATGTATGGGTCTTGCTTACCCATCGTTCTCAGTGTAGGTATTCCGTTATTGTAACGGTATCTAGATCAAACAAAAGCACATGGCAAAAGTACAACTTATGTATCTTTTTTTTGTTCTCCTTTTTTTATGACAGCTGAAACAGGGTCTTGAATGTCAAAGGGGAATAGAATAGGGATGAAAAAACAATTTAGAATTAAAATTTAATTAATTAATTCAACATCACTATTACACATACAGTAAGGGGACAGGAATGAAAGCACACAAGGACTGTGGTTCACCAATGGCTCATGTGCGGGTCATCTCACATTGCCTGTGTCTAGATCAGGAGCTCCTCCTTCAGTGTCATGCTTTTCTGTATGTTTTATAACAGGCCGATGTGGCTTGGCCCATTCAGAGGGAACCTCCAAATATGGCTGAGGGATGTGATCATCCTTTCCCATCCCTTTTCTGAATTGGCTGGCCTCTGGTGTGTTCCGTCCGTCCTCATAAACTCAGGAAGTTGATGAAGAGTGCCCAAACAAAGAATCTTTTTTAGTCTCTGTGAGACTTCTTGCTTATTTAAAGATAATTCTGGTTTGTTACAACTTCTGTCCTGTTATAATTTTGACTTTCATTTCCAATCAGTTATAATGACTCTACAGCATGCTCAACTGTTTCACACCTGACAAAGCCACCAATTCACTTTCAAGCTAATTACCTGTTAGCTTTAAAGGGGGAGATGGCTGCATCCTAACATTTGTATACGTTTTCCAGACAACCATTTTCACAGTGAATGGCTAGTAGTGTGGAGGTGGTTCAAACTTCTCTAGCTTCGTCTTTTCATTCTTCTTTCATTCATGCATAATATTTGAAGAGAATGTCTTAAAGTGTGTAATCACCCCGTTTATACTTTTACTTCAGTACTCTCAATTTCAGAAAGACCGAAGAAAATTAGTTATTGAAGAGAGATCAGGCTTTCCCCCTGCAAAAACGTGTATAAAGTATATTCTACTGAGCATACTAAACCCTTTAGTTTACCTCAAAATAAAAGGTTTGAGATAATCGGGTTAAAACGTTTTACTATGTGTAACAGGTCAGATCATCTCACTGTGTTTTCTTCCCTTGTCGGACAATGTGCCCCCAGACCTCAGCAATTAACTTGATGATTGTGTTATCATAACCAATATGAAAGATGGCCAAAAGAACAGGCATAAGACAAAGAGGTAATGAACTAATGAACTATCCTTTGAGGGAGGAGGTGCAGGTTCACCCTATTCACCTTCAAGACTGCAAAGGCTACACCATTTAGGCTCACTGAAGGAGGGGCCCCTGAACTCATGTGACTCCACAAACTGTATTGCTCTTCCCAGGTAGTTTCATATATAATGGCTCGGGGAGGGTGGGAGGGTGAAGAGAAATGGCATGTGTCTTTGTGGTTTGTTTTGGCATGGCTGATGTATTGTGAATGTAGTATGAGATTTCCCTCTACAGGCATTCTTAAGGCACTTGAAAGGACCTGATGCCTCTTGTGTAATCTTATTTAACGAATATCCAGTATATGTGTATTAGTTCAGAATTGCATTCTCTTGAACACATGCTGACAGGCACATTTAATTGTGTGCACATTGGATTACTCACACACAGTTCAGAGTGAGTGTGTAGTGATGGGACTGTCACAGTGTGAATTCTAACTGTGTTACCAATTTTACTTACTCTCTCTAGATAAAGATGTCATAATTATCTGTGCGGTTAAAAACAAATTCATTGCATTTTTATAAGAGGAACTTGGAGCTATGTTGATGTTAACATCTCAGTTTATTAAAAAAATGGGTGCCTTTTCATAAATAGACAATTTATGAGAAGGTGAAGAAAAACGTGTACAATAACCCAGAGTTTATAGTTTTTGTTTTCCCTTGTTTTTTTCTCTGTTAATATGGATATGTTGATATGCAAATCCTCACATTCTCAGGTTTTACATAAATTTGCTTCGTGTTGTCTGATCAACTCCAGTCAGTCACCTAGTTTTCATGCAAGATAGTTCTTACCTCACTGTGCCACAATATCATTTTTATTCAGGAAATGAAGCTTTTTGTGGAAAGCAGTAGCTTTATTTTTGTTCAGTAGGGACTTGGATCAATTTGGTGCTGCAGGAGTACTTTATACTGTTCATTTAAACTGCAGCACTGTACTAAATGGAGAGTGACTTTTATTAGGTGTTGGTTTACCCACAACAACAACCTGTGGAAAATGATCACAATTAGGTAATGTGACAACCACATAAACGTCTGTACTTTAGCTTTAGAGATGCAGTGTGAGACAAAAACATGACTCCCTTTTTAAAATGTTGTGTTTGAGATTTGTGGGAGTCCATGATGTCCAGTTTAGGCTTTTCATCATATTTTAAGATTGCGAAGCACAAACAGGTCGAAAAACACTGATGTGGCAATGCACACAGACTAACCTTAGAAGGTTTTTTAAATTCATACCTCAGGGTAGACGGTGTGATTTGCTCAGATGAGGATAACTTAAAGGTGTCACTGTATATCCCTTGTTCATCTCTATCCTTTGCGGAAGAAATGCATACTGATTCTGATCAGATGCTGCACTGCTTTTACCCTCCTATGCACAGCCTCACCTCATCACAATCTTATGAAAAATGTCACTAAATCTCAATTTTTCATTTGTTGTTTTAATCATCTGAGTTTTGTATAGTTATATAAACATACAATCATGCAAACCAGACTCATGTTGCTGTAAAAACCTGTTTCTTCTATCTCTAATCCATGTATTGTTTCTTTAATGTTTCACTCTTTCATCTACTTTGTTTCTTTACCAGTAGCCTGTGTATTGATTAGTCAGTTCATTTATTTGTAAGTCAACATAATGATTGTGAATGATAGGGACTTTCGATTCTGTTACCAATATGCAAGACCAATAAAGGTGTATGTGACCTAATTGTTTGTGTTGTGTTATTTGTATGTGTATACTTTATTCTCCACTACATGTATCCCACAGCTGTAGTTATTTATAGGTCGAGCTTTTTCAAAGATTAAATACGATGAGTTTATTCAATGACACACTCTTATGAATTACTACAGTATATGCATGTTAATGTTGGGGCCATAATGACCTCATTACATGTTACAGTTTGGAACTTGTGGGAATATATGGTTCTAAAGGTTAAACATAGGCATGCAAAACATGACTTCAAAATCCTGCAGATACTAAACAACATAACAATTAATCTCATTTAACTAAAAAGCACAAATAACGACAAGTCTTTACTTTAAAGCTATAATGATGATACATACAACATATGAACATTTTTAAAAATTATAGTTCACAATTTATGACAAATCTTTCACCTAAAACAGTTGTCATAATCTTATTCAGGATCATGTGTAAAATATTAGAAATTAGTTTATACACTATAACATATTATAACTGCATATTATAAGTGTGCGTAAATGCTTGGCAGGTAAATAAAATATGAAAAGTTAGTATTGTTGTATAAATAACATGCATAGTGTTGGAGCAGAACCTCTGCTCCGCGCGTTCCTCTATGAGTTTGTTTTAAAAGAAGGAAAAGTCAAAGCACCAGGATAAGGGTTAAACAATAATCTGCTTTAATGGTAAAATATACAATACAACACAAAACAATTGAAAAGGGGCCCCCCTTCGGGTGCCCCTGCTCTGGTCCTCTCGCTGGGAGAGGTCTTACCCCTTGGTAAGCATGAGGGAAAGAGAGCGAACCAAAGGAAAACACAGGCTTTCATAGGAGGAGGTGTGTGGATGCTTCCCCCAGAGATCATCTCATTGGGAGAGACCAACACATGGCCTGTCGTACCCAATCAGCGCGAGCCAGAGGGCCTTAAGTTTGAAGCAAAACAGCCCCATCTGGTTTTTATTGTTCCGCATTCTTGCATAGAGTTTCTATCCTATCCCCCCCCTCAGTTGTTAAAGCACATTTCGTTTCACCTACTCTTGGCATCTTTTAAGATATAGTTGGATTATACAAATATCATATGTGAGTTACCTTAATATCCACAATACCGAGGAAAACATTACTGCTATTCTTGATACAAAGTAATTAAACACACACATATATTTATCATGTAGACTTCCCTAATATTTGACATGCTGGAGATCTTTTAAGAAGAATGTCCCCTCCCCCAGCTCTTCCAATCTACTGGAATGCAGAACTGCTCTCTGTTCATACAGAGTCATAAAACATGTTTAAGCTAATTTCTCCACAATGTTTGTAGCAATTTAGTACCCACACATGAAAGAACAAAACAAAGAAATCAAATAAAACACCAACACAGATATGGTTCAGCAATAATCACATCTAGCTGCTGCAATAGACACCCTTCTTTATGGGTCTACAGGAAACGAATCATTAACTTTA